GTGGGTGACACTTAAGGCAACTGGGAGGGAACCATATGACCAAGACCCGGCAACATTTCCACCCACAACACCTCAACACCATCACATCCAGGAAGTTTCCCCGTCTGCACAAAAATCCCTCTTATTACATCAAATTTCTGCTGCCGGATATCTGGCTGGAGTCACAGCCCATCGACTAGTGGGGACAGCACTCACTGCAACTCTCTGATCGTTGCCACCAAATTAGCTGCGCAATGCACAAGTCTGTTATTTGACATTTGGTTCCCTTTCTGAACACTGAAGAACTTGCAGAAACCTCTCAGCATACCCAAACCAAAAAGAAAAAATGAAGCGTGCCTATTTTAATCCATCATTAAGGAATTAAATTACTCTTCCTCCATCTTCTTCCAACCCCGACGTTCCCTTTATTACAACTGTGAGGTTATTTTTCCCAACTGCAAGCAATCTTTAATTCATAAAGCATTCTCCATTGCTGCCATTTCCAAATATTATGTGATCCCCACAAAACGGTGACAGAGAAGTTATAGTCTCTTGATTTCACAAATGAGGAAAGGAAGGCTCACAATAGTGACGCGCCTTAGGTCACACAGCAGTGAACGACCATCTGTCTCTTCCTATGTTCCGTAAGTCTCCAGGGAAGGTGCCACACCTTTCTAAGGGCTGATGCTTATACTCAAACACTGATTCATTCTTGATATGATCAAGGAAATGGGACAGCAACTTTGGACATCTCTACTTAACACACCAGGCAGTCCTACAACCCATGACAAACTCAAGTGAACAAGGGGCTCAGGTGCCAAACTCAGCCACGTTGCTTTGATGCAGTCCTTTCAAGAAGAGAACAGTTTTCTCCCCTCCCCATAGTTCCCTGACTACAACAAGAGTAACTTTTGCTTTTTTTTTTTTTCTTTTATTTTCCCACTTCTTTTTTTCTGGACAAAAGGATTATCTGACCTCCAACCAACCAAAAAATAACTAAGTTTTTTCCTTTCACACCAAACGCAAGTCGATGCCTAAAACTGTTATTTAAAAAAGTCACTCGAGGACAAAGAGGGTCCAAGAACCAGGAAGTTTGGAAAACTCCAAACTAATTTTGGGAGTAACTGGATCCCCTCGCCTCCCATTCCAGAAATGGCTACAGTAAGCGCCTGCAGAGATGAACAGGCAGAAACTTCCCCAGGCACCCGGAGCTCCATCTTAACAACTTTGCAAAGAAGGAATCTCGTCTGTGTGACACAGGCATGGAACAGGAGCCCAGGGAAGGAAAGCAACCTGGCCCAGGCCCTCAGGTGAGGCATAGTTAGCACAGGGTGGAAACTAGGTCACGCTCGGCCACTTCCTGAGTCAGAATTCTTCTCTTGCACCTCTCCAGACAGAAACCTGCCCCCCATCAAGCTGGCTATCAGCCTAGCTATATTCAGCCATGGCATGATCACACCACCTGGGAGCCAGGCTCATCAAACCAGAACTCTGAAGTGGAGTCACCACCATTAACACAGAGCTGGAAGAAGCCCTCAACCCCAAAATCAAACCTTGCCTATTATGTTCCCTTGGGGCTCAGCTACCGTGGGAAGCTGGCCTTTGGCAAGTCTGGGTTTCCTGGGTGGCACCTCCTTCCCCAGGGGTACTGAAGCAGCAGTGCCCTGTGGAGCTGTCTCTGGCCTGACAGGGGAGGCACAGGCCTGGGAGGGGTCACGCCGGCAAGTGGGGCCAACTCTTTATGAAGTTCCTCTCGGTTATGGGATGCAATATGTACTTAAAGGAATAGACACTTGGAGATAAATTAACTTCTAAAAGAAAGAGACATTTTGAAAATTAAACTATACTGCCTGCCTGGAATGAGCAATCAATACATATCCAATTGTCACACACATAACGAAAAGGCAAGTCACAGAAGAATAAACGCAAATGGGCGAAACTTTAAGGGGTTTGACATCCTAAAAATACACTGTCCTCCGCTGAACCTGTTATCTACGTTTGGTGCGTCTTCGTTGTTCATGTGGAAGGCCGGTGAAAGACCGTGCCATCATGACACTTCTGTTTTCAATAATTACAGCTTAAGCTATGCAGTAGCATTTAGTCCTTAAAAGGGACTCGAGGAAGCTCCTCAAGATTACTGAAAAGTTTCTTTCCAGCTAATGAGACAGTAATTATTTTCCAGTTTTGTGTCGCTGATTCAGTAGAAATGTTCCACAGTGTTGTGTGACCGCCTGACATGTCTGAGTTTCTCTGTATGAACCCCCTTTGCCAAAGGCAAGAGATGTGGACGTGCTTCTGGGGGGTATGAAGCGCCTGGGTGAGGAAAACCAACCACCCTGGGTTGGGGCATTTCTGTGGGGGTTCAGTCCCATGGACATGTCAGTGCAGGGATCAGACTCCTAGGAGGGTACCCTACCTCCTGACAGGACCTGCCCCCCACTTCCGGGCAGGAGTGTCTGTATGTGAGGTGGCAGGTGGGACGCCAGCCTTCTGATGCATTAGGTGGGTAGCTGAGCCAGCAGGGGAGGAGGACGACTCAACAAGAAATACGAGGGATTCTTGGATAAAACGAAGGCTTCGTTTGGAAACCAAAAACCTTAACAAGCGTTTTCTTGGACCTTGAGCCAAGTATGCATTTCTCCAAATTTTGTTGGGTTATGTTATTGACATGAACTGAGGTGACTATAAGGTTTTATTTAATGACATTCTGTGCTGGAAATTGGGAGGCCTGCAGCAGACCTAAATTCCAACTCTTACGATTTTTGAAAAGATTGTGAAATTACAAAAATGCACCTGAACCAAGTTTTAATAGGCTGCGTGATGGGTGGATGAGGTCTTCCATTATACCATTTCCATCTTTGGATTCTCCGGCAGTGCAGGAATTCTGTGACATTAATAAATTCAGTAAAAAGTAAACATATGGGAGGAAAAGGTGGAGGTAAACTGGAAGAGCCGCTCAATCTTACTAATAATAAGAGATGTGCAAATTCAATGGATACTTTTTTTAAAAAAAATAATTTTTAGTTGTATATGGGCATAATATCTTTATTTTATTTATTTATATGTGGTGCTGAGGATCAAACCCAGTGCCTCACATATGCCAAGCAGGCACTCCACCACTGAGCTACAACCCCAGCTCCCTAATAGATACTTTTTAACAAACGTTAATTCCCAAGATTGGCTGGGACACAGGGTGCTGGGCGATCAAACTGGTACAACACTCTGAGTTCTGTTTGACAAAACAAATCAAGATATTAAGGTTCAGGAGCAACTCTCTGGGTTCAGCAATTCTACTTCCACAAAATAAAACTATAGAATACTCACAGATGGGCACAAACATTTAATTACAAAATGTGCATCTGCATTCCGCAGCTATTAAAAAGCTGGAATCCACCCAAATGTGCCACTCTGGAGGACTAGCTGGAACCATATGGTGGAATACTATGCAACCATTCGGGATGTGGGACACTGACAGCAAGAGGAAAGGCCACCACCAGCTAACTGGAAACTCACTAAAGGAAAAAGGGGAAGGAACCAAGGCTGGGATTCACAGATGATCCATCTTAACTGTAAACTTCTGGCTGGTGAGGATTTGGGGTGATATTTTTTCTAGTCTGCATTTTCTAAATTTTTCATAAGGAACACATGCTTAAAAACATTTAAATAATTTTAAAATCATTTAATGAGAACTCACACAAAGCTAATTTACCTTACTGGGCATAAATACAAGCTTGACCAATGCCAGCTCCCATTCCCCCAGAATTCTCTCCCAAAACCTGTTTTGCACTCAGGACACCAAAGGAGAATTCCACAAAGAAAGCGTGGACGTACTAACCCAGGATCGACGTGTGGTCTGGGCACGTGCGACAAGCCCTCCAGGTGCCTCGCCCAGCCCAAATGGATTTGCTGAAAAAAAATCTGATTCCAGACTCAGGTTCACAGACTTCACAAGCTGACTGGGAAGAGTTCTGCGAGAACTGTGCTACTATTCCTCGGAACATGGAGGGGGCGAGAACACTGGGTGGGACCCCAGGCAGGAAGTGAGAAGCCCTCTGCTGCAGTCCTGCAGGCACCCTGGAGGGCTGCGTGAGTCAGGCAATCTACCTCACCTCTCTGTTCTTTCATCTCCACATCATTCCAAAACAGGTGTCTTGCACAGAATCCTCTTAAATTGTGAAAGGCTATCAACATAACACAATAATAATCAACAAACACTAATCTGCAACAAACAAGTACATTTTAGCAGTAAAGATTAGTTTTGGGGTGTTTTTTTTTTTTTTAAATTTTTTAGGTTTAACTTCACTCTGTATATATCCATACGAGAGATTGACTGATTTTGTTTCTCTCAATGAAATAATTTGGTTAAACAAAAGAACTCATTCCACTCAGCTGATCACAGGGCCTAGAGAGATATAGCAGAGAATAGAATACAAATCCCACCCCAATCTCATGCTCCCTCTCTCTGGACCTGCTGCATACACACACCATCTTAAGTCTCTTTTTGGAGTCTAGCGAGATCTTGATTTGCTGTAGGGGCAACTCTGTCTGATCCCATTTCTAATATGAAGCATCCCAAAGATGAAAAAAAAAAAAAAAAAAAGCCCACCAAGCACAGCCTGAGACAAACACTCAAAGTTTTGAGACCCTCAGATTAAAACCATGTTCCACAACTTGGTACCTCCTAGGTATCCCGAGTTAGGTTTGTGTAGCCCAAGACCAGCACTTCATGAAACGTGCTCTTATGGACTAAAGCGGGAATGACTTAGGCAACAACCTCCAACTATAGGAATGTGCTTCCTGGCCAGTCCATGGGCACCTTAACTTGGATCTTTGCAAGAAGCCCTCTGATGGACCCAAATGCTGCTTTTAAGAAGGTAGAGGATTCACATCTGGCCACTCTGCGAATGCTGCCCAGTGCAAGAGGGACACAGGCCTCATCGTACCCAAGAAGGGAGGTCAAGGGCTGAACAACTGTCAACGTCACCTGCATTGTACAATCCGCAATGATTCCCCAAACAGCCTCCAGTTTTAACATTTTATTTGATAAATAATGAACACATTTGTACATGAATGACCAAACAGCTTTAGTGGAATAGTTTCGTGATGATACAGACATATGTTCACAAAGTTTCCAGGTGCTCACATTTTAAAAAGAGAAAAAGTTGTTGAGAAAGAAAAATAATATAAGTAAAAATATGTAATATAGTGTATTCGTTTTGTTCCCATTTGGAATTTGAAAATAAGCAGTTTATAAAGCCAAACTGTTTTCTTCTGGGCCAAATTTCTGTTTGACAGCTGCAGAATGCAACTGCTGGGCTGCCTGGAGCTTTAGTTACGGAGCCAAAACCAGCAGTGCCCGCAGGACTCGGGAGCACTGGCTATCTGCTCTGTATTATGTATCTGGCTTAATGTGGCCTCTAGCTTAAAAAGCAGATGCTGAGCCCAAAAGGATACATTTTCTTTTAGTACAAGAATGTATTGCTAATAAACAATCTAATTAAAATCATTACATAAGCCTACGTAGAGCTGGTGACAGCGGCAAGGGAGACGACGTTCTTAGGGAAAATATAAGGTCACTAAGGCATTCTAAATGAGCTTTAAACAGAGGCACTAATATTTAAATATCACAATTACCACTTAGAAAAAAAGAAATCACATTATTGATAGGCCAGCACACTCAAAACCAATAATGTCACAAAACACATGCCCTTGTGTCATTTGGCAGAAGGAGCTGCTCCCTGAATACAATGGGCCTCTTTATTAACTGGCTCTCCTCATCCTTGGCATCCCATACAAACAAAACAAAAACGCAAAGCAGAAAGAGAGGAAAAGAAACAGAGACATTAATAACCGTCTTCAGCTTGAACTCTATTGCTGAGAAGTACAAGACCTAAAAGATATGTTAGGAGAGGAAAAGGCATTATTTAACAAAAATGAAAGCAAGACCGGCCAGAGGGAGAAAACTAGATGGAGAAGCTGCCTCTTTTGTTTAATCTTATGGAAGGGCAACAGAGCCCTCTAGTGGAGAAAATTTAAAATATAAATTCACATTTGTGCTTTTAGGTTAATTATAGGAAACGCATACAATACTTTCATTACAATTCTTACTATGTCATTGTATTATGCAGAAGCAAGAGATAAACTGTCTCAGATTTTTGAAAACAATTTTTAAATTTACATAAGTTACAAACCCTCAATTGGGGTCGATAATATTTTAAAATATTCTCTTTAAATCATGAGTTCAAACCATTTTCTCACTGAACAGTGGCTTCTGCAACCCTCATCTGTTATGCTGACACTATGAAAGGTCAAAATCCAAACCTATGTGCAAATACAGAATTCAGCTGATAACCTCCTGTGACAACTGTTTCAGCTAAGGTCTAAGCAGGTGTGCGCGTGGACACGGAGGGGTGTGTGTGAGTGCACACAGCGGGTGATAAGCCCGGCATACCCACACACCCACACGTACACACCTCCTGGGGTTTAACATGGGGTCAGCAAAGGATGAGATGCACATCAGCAAATGTCTTCAACTGTCCCCTGCTCCAGAGGAGGAGTTCTCAACACTATGAGCATGTGGTTTCCATGTAGGTTCAGTGTCTAAGAACATAAATGTAAACAGGAGCAGGCCTGAGCCTGTGGTCCCAGTTACTGGGGAGGCTGAGCCCAGGAGCTGCAATTAATGAGACCCTGTCTCCAAAAAAAAAAGGTTCTTTAGTGCATAAGGCACTAATTAAGGGACTAATTGTCAATTTTACATAATGCCATCTAAGGACATCTCCCAATATTTTCAAAACTTTCAACAGTTTCTCAGAATGAAAAAAATTTCATTCATTTTACTTATAATTGATACATGGGTATATTTTAGCATAACAGCATAACTGTCATGAATATCTTTAATTAATCCCCAAAAGGTCACTTTGGTTATTTTGGAATTTCTTCCTCTACTTAAAGAGCATGTTCTTAAAAGAATGCCAAGATCCCAGTGGCGCAGGCCTTGTCAACAAAGTGGGTAGGAAACCAACAGTGCCCTGACCTCACAAGACATGTTTTGTCCAGGAAGATGACCAAATGTAAGTGAGCCCAGAGCCTGGGGTTCATGGATCTGTTACAATAACTTAGGGAGGGACAGGGGAGCAAATGGCACAGTTTAGGCATGAAAACTAAGTAACACTTAGTTATGGAAAAAGAAAACAAAGATGTGGCCTATAAAGGAAGACAGTGTACAGAGTGCGGGGCTGGGGAGTGTGGCTTTAAAACCTTAAGGACAAACACCCTTCTCTACCTAAAGAGAGAGTGATTTTCTTATGTCATGCAGGAAGGGAGAATTTACACCAGATATGGACTTTTCATGATGATGATCTATAGGATAAAAGTGTGGCAATCACGCTTCATGCCATAATTTCAGCTCATAATTTAGGAGTAAAACCCCAACATTTTAGAAAGGGGTTAACATAAAATTACAAAATACTAACACTTAGGGATTCCCTGAAAGAAAATCGAATACCTTCATTTTGCTTAAGGAGAACAAATTTAGGGGTGACTTCAACATCATAAGCAAAAGTATTTTTTTTAATAACTCAAAGTGTGTAAATTTTGATATGTGTGTGAGAAAGAGAGACTCCTGGGATAGCCTCAGGGAGGTGGCAGCATAACACAAACACCACCAGCAGGCGAGGGCATCAGCCCTGAAGTGCACTAGCACACCGAGTGGCCAGCTCATGTTTGTTCTGGGGTAAAACAATTTTGGTTTTATTAATGGGTCCTCTGGCTCAAAACTCAAAACCAGGCCAGGCTATTTCAGATTTAAAGCCACAACATTTGATACAGTCCAACATTATAAAGGTTCAAAAGGTAAAAGAAACTTTTTATCCTGACTAAATTCAGAGAGGAATTTAAAACTCAAATTTGAGCACCACTGGTTTCAGGTGGCAACAAGAAGAAAGTTGGATCTCCATGACCGTGAGGTTAGACTGGAGAATCTAATTCGCTGGTACTTATTCATCGTTGTAACTGGATGTTTGACAAAGCCCTGGCTGTTTCTCCACAAATACGATGATAATAACCTGCCTACTCATGGCTTCAGTCTGCAGGGTTTCAAGTGCAGCCCTCACAGGAGACCATGAACCAGCTGCTACCCCAGGTCTAGGCATGCGACAAACCTGCACCACAGGAGCCTGCAGACTCCGGGGCCACTGCACACGACCATGTGCCCAGGGCCGAATCAGCTCACAGGCCGAGTCCAGAAGCAAGTTTCTGTGGACACTCCCTAGCCTAGGACACTCCCTCTCCTGAGTCTCCGCAGCACTGTGTGCAGTGGTCACCATGTCGAAGCCATTTCCATTTGACTTTATGACATCAGAGCCACCATGGCTAACTTCAGGGAGACCCTCCTGCTCAGTCTACGCTGCCACCGACGGCAGGGAGCTCCCTCGCCTCGACTGGGTGGCGGTGGGACTGTGGGGCTCCGGGCCTCTTGATCTGCTACCAGGAGCTCTGGTGAAGAGATGTCGCCCCTGGAAACTGAGATGCTGATCTCCAGGGAGAGGTCCACAAGCTACAGCTCTCAATCTACAAAGTTCTTCGGGTTCATAAAGCTGGTTAAACAAAGGTCAAGGAGAGAAGAGTGTTAGTTTCTGAGGAGACAACATCTGAATCCTTGCAGCTACCTATAAAAAGGGAGAGCCTGGGGCAAGGGACGTGGGATTTAGTGGGATGTCCTCAGCTACCTGCCATGTGCTGCCACCATCCTCTTGAGGGGTGGAGTATCCACTGATCCAAACTTCGTCTCATGAGGCCAATTTACGGGACACTTAGGCAGCTCTTCTTTGAGAGGGGCTGGGCCATCGAATACAGGTTACCACCAAACCTTCTCTACAAAGGGCCATATGATCTGTGCTGTAGTTACTCAACCCTGCTGGTGACACACTAAATGGGCATGGCTGTGTTCCAATAAAACTTTATTTATAAAGTCAAGTAGCAGGCCAGCTTTGGGACAGATTTAGCCCAGGGGCCGTAGTTTGCCCACCCCCAATCTAGATGGCTGAATCCAGCCAATGGAGGTACAATCCAGTGACAAGCTAAACAAGGACTCCATGAACCCACACTGTTTCCGACATTTCTCCCAAATCTTCCTCTCTTCCAGAATGAACCTAATCTTTTTCAGCTGAATTGAGTAAGAATGTCTTCAATTGCTTTGGAGATATCAAATATCAAAATTCACAATAGTTCCATATCACTCACAGCCAGGGGAAGGGCAGCGTCAATAAGACAAATTGCTTAAAAGCCACTTCAAGGGCAGAGGACCCCAGTATAACCCCACAGGGAGCGAAGTGCCCTCCACACCCAGGATCCTCACCAACAGTAGCCCCACATTCCACAGCACGGCGCCTCCTGGGAAGTCTGTAAAAGAAACTGCTGGGAACGCCAGATTTGCAAAGCAGACTGTCAGGCCAAGCAGGCGACCATGTGTTCAGCCGTGGAGTCGCCAGTCTCCAAATAAGTACTGTCACTGCTGCTCCAGCCCACACTGTGTCAGAGACAGGCGTTCCCAAGGCCACTCAGCTGCTCCTCTAGAGTGACTGCCCTTGGTGGCCCCGGGGAAGGCAGGCTAGTACCCCACCAACACCTGAACAGAGGCGGCTGGAACGCCCAGATGTCTTGGGAACCAAGCAACACACTCTGCACACGGCTATCTCATCTGAATTGGGAAGAAATGAAGTAGCAATGACAATTCATAACCTGGAAGATTGCACAGCTCAGTAGAAGGAAGAGCTTTATCTAGAAGCCACAGCCTGCTCAGGCAAAGGCACTTTCAGGCAACCACGCAGGACATAAAAGCCAGTTCAGTCATGACAGGAAGCCAGGGCCTCTCTACTGGCAGCCTCTTCTTTAAGCCTGATGCCACTGCTTCAGGGGAAAGTGATTTGCAAGTCCTCGATTGCTTGGAATTTGAAGTACTATTATTTCAAAATTAAGAATAAATATCCATGGCCCTCACCCAGGCTGATGCTGCCCCAAGGGGAGGAGAAGGGAAGGAGCAGGTGAGGGCCACACGGAGGGAAGGTGGGGCTGAGGAAGAGCCAGGGGCAAGGGGCAGAAAAGGCTGGTCTCCCCAGGACCTTCCGCACCTCTGGCCTGTCCCAAGCTCATGACTGCCACCCCACCCAGCCAAGGACACCTGCCGCAGCATCCACAGAATGAACTGAGGACAAAGGGAGGAAGTGTTTAGGAAGTGGAGCTGGGAAGAGGCACAGAGGCCTTGGGCTTGCTCCAGAGCTCGGAGGGCTGTGCAGGTTCAGACCCTCCCTGTCCCCTCCTTTAATGTTCCAAGTCAGCTCTGGGTCCTGCGTGACAAGGCCAGGGCTTGGTGTCACAGATCTTTGGGAATGCATGGATCACACCCGGTCTGTTCTCTAACGTCAGGTGGGGCAGGCTAAACACTCCACAGAAAATCAACACTCATACACGTCTCGCTGATGGAAGAAAATCTGTCCAGCTAAGATTAAAGGAACGAGGTGTTTCTGTTAATCTTCTGGTCAATTGAAATAAACAAAGGTATTTTACTGAGTCCTTAAATCTTTTTTTAAGTTATTCGACACTGCACGGGTCCACAACATAACAGCAGTCAACACGATCAACACAACATACTGCTTCTTGGACACCAGGACCCAGCTCCTATTTTTAGTATCACACCACCAGTTTTGACATCGGTGATGATGCTACAGAATTTACCCCGATGTAAGGTTGATAAAATAACTAGACAAATTCTGAGTCCAGGATGAGATCTTAAGAGTTGATTGTCCATAGATCCCTTTCAATTTTTTTTTTTAAAAACTCCACTTGCCTCTTTCCCTTAGCAGACAGGCACAGTCAGAACCTCTCCCAGGTCCACAGCCTCACTGACCCTCTGAGAATGCATTTCCCTCCTTGCCCTGAAGGTGCTGGGGAATGTTTCTGGATTGTCAAAGATGTCATTCAAAATTAGAAAGGAGAGAGATGGAGATCTAAGCCCAGAACGGAGGCCACCATGGGGGCCTCAGGGGGCTGGAGAGGACCTGAGGGAAGACAGCCCAAGGCGACCCACTTTCTGTATCTATAGACAAATCTGAAGATGTAAACTCTCCTCAGAGTGGCTGACTTTTACTAATCCAGAATGGGTACAAATGGACCAAAATGAAACAAAACCCTACCAAGAAGGATGGCCAAGCATCTGGTTTGCCCTGACGCCAAGGGAAGGTCACCCTCTTGGCCTGCCCTCCACACAGTGGCCACTGGGCCTAAGGCCAGAAGTCAAGGGGTTAATTCTGAGGTGAAGACAGGATGAATTCTCCAGTTTTAGAAAGAAATAAGATCTATTCCCAGAGGAAAACGATAGCCCTAGTGACCAGTGGAGACCTGCAGGACCTTTGTTCTGAAGCCATGTGCTGCCCCTCCTGTCCCTTCCCATATCCCATTACCAGAAAATGTTGGTTTGAACAACTCAGGTAATTGGAATATGTCACACACCACACAGACCAGGTCACAGACTCCTAGACACAGCCTGCTGTCCCTAAGCCCTCAGTACCAATAGCTCCTGTCTTTTACTGATTATTCAGCTATCAGAACTCCCCAGGCCGCCTCACACAGCTGTCGTGGGGCGCTGGGGTTTCAAAAGGCCGTGATTTTAATGAAACAGCAGCTGAAACGCTATGAACAGACTTTAAAAATAGAGAACCACCATAAAATTTTCATTATAGTTAGATTTAAGTGGATTTCATCATAGCAGTCACAGACACTAAACAAACAGGATGACGGACGCTGACAGCCTACCTATTCCTGAGTTGGCTCCCGTCACCACAACCACCTTGCCGCTGAAGTCACGGCCCTGCAGGATCTCCATGGCCGTGGTGCTGCCGTCGTACCGCTGTCTGCTGGTCGGCTTCGTGGGATTATCATCCACGGTGAACGCCAGCCTGGGGTCCAAGTAGGTGGTTCTTTTATTTATATGGCTGCAAAGAACAGGAAGCAGCAAGCACCACAGTGAGCACTCGTTAGTGTAAAATAATCTCTCAATCAAGGCGAACCCACCACTCACGGACCAAAAGGCTCATCCTTAGCCCGAAAAACACCAGGGTCTGTTGAACCTCTCCTGGTCTCTGGAAGGATTACAGCGTAGGCTGGAAAGAGGCTCACCGAAGCCCTTCCTTCTGAGCTGCAGAGCACACTACAAAGCACAGTGCCCACACCTCATACCCTGCATCTCAAAGGAGTCACTAGACAGATCTGGGGTTTGGCTTCATTCAAGTACATGTGGCCATGAGATCTGTCAGTCACTCTTGTCCATGGATTTCAATTAAATCTCTTTGCCCTGAGCAAGGGCCTCAAAAGCAGATAAGTAGAAAACTCAAATTGATAAAAATTCTTAATACTAAATATGAAACTGACCAACTAATGAAATTCTAAAGGTTTTTATCTTAAGACCACACCCAGGCCTCCTATAAGTATGCTGCTTTTGATCTGGAGTTATCTAAAATTTATATAATATTAAAATATATTGGTAAATATGGATTAGTAAGTTGCTCCTTGTAATAGAATTTATTTTTTACATTTTAAATGTACTCTTGGGATTTAAGATAAAGACCTCAAAACAGCACAAAACTATCTTAAAAACTATTATAAACTCTCCAGAAATATCTAAAATTTCATGATATAAAATGTATTTGGGTGTATAAAATTACATGGTTGAGGGTTGGGGATATAGCTCAGTGGTAGAGTGCTTGCCTAGCATGTATGAGGCCCTAGGTTCAATCCACAGCCCCAGAAATAAATAAAACACATTTCTTAATTTAAAGTCTATACCCATCAACCCAGGAATGTGACCCTTATTATAACCACAGCCTGTCAGGTGAGCACAGTGAGCCCAGGGTTACATATAGACTACGGTGCTGCGTGATGAGGGAGTGACACATGCTGGCTTAGCAGAGCCAAATGTGCATCCTCCCAGCTCCTAAGTGACCTCACCTTGGTAGCCTGAAATTGGCTATGGTCAAAGCATTTGCACCACAGAAACAAACCTGTGCTTTCTTTTCCTTCCACTGAAGAGCTGATTGCTAAACACAAACAGCACTCCACAGCAACAGCTCACAGATGTGAGTTGACAAACCAGGGAGTCAAGGTCCAGCCTGCCTTCAAAGGCCACCACTCTTCTGGAGTAGAATAACAGATGGCAATACAGCCCACCACTTGTTATTATAAATAAAGTTTTATTGGAACACAGCAATGACCATCAATTTTATATCCTCTATGGCTCCTTCAGCATTATAATGGCAGAGCTGAAAAACTCCAACACAAACCATATGATCCCCAAAGCCTAAAACATTATCTGGCCTGTTTCAGAAAGGGAGAAAGTCCCCTCTCTGGAGTAGACCAATGGCTCTCAAGCTACCCTTGGAGAACTCATTAAAGCACAGGTCGCCAAACCCACCCCCAGAGCTGGAATCGGGTTAAGGGAAGTTCCCAGGAGACGCTGATGCTGCTGATCCAGGAACTATGCTTAGGAAACGCTGCCCTAGGTCACTTACAATTAAACAATTTAAGGGAAATAACTCTCCCAGCACACATGTAAAGGCAGAAACTACATAACATTTAAAAACTTCCACCATTAATTTTTTAAAAGCCAACAAAGTTAAAAGAAAAATTTGGAAAAAAAAAATTGCAACATACAACCAAAGGGTTGGTATGCTTCATTTGTTGAGGAAAAAGACTAATAAGTCAAGAAGGAAGAAGTCTTTTATAAACTAACAGGCATCAACATCCCACCTGCCCAGCTTGTCAGCGCCTCTCGGGGGCTGCCTGTGCAGCTCAGAGACCCCTTGAGCAAGCCATGGCCCATTTGCTCCCAATTCTGGCAATGCACCAAAAGTTCAAGTATTTGTTCAAAAACCACTTATGCCACTTGTTACTATAATTACGTTACCTAATGAACTATTATAACACAAACTGATAATGAGAGATGAAAACAAAGTGCCCCTGTAACTATGAAGATCTGGTTGAGTGCCTGGGAGAGCCTCAAAGGCAGGTAGCTAAGAAGAGGCTTTGGTTCAGTCAGATACAGTGGAAACACTAGAAATAGGCCATGAAATTCCAGAAAAGATGCAGCATTCAGAATTTCTGAAAAGTAAGTTTTTGGTCAACTTTAAAAAAAGTGAAAATAGAAACTGTAGATGCTTTATTCCAGGTGTGATTGGGAAAGGAAGATTACCTGCAATCCATAAGGCAGACTCACATACGAAGAGCAGGCCCAGCTGACCCCAGAGTGTTTGTGTTACACACATAGCTCCTAAAAACAACTATTATTCCTGTGCAGGTGTGGCTCAGGGTAGAGCTCTTGCCCAGTACACACAAGGCCCTGGTTTCAATCCCTGACTAAAAAAAAAAAAAAAAAAAAATTCCTGCTTAAATCAATCTGTTAACCAACCTATTCTAATCTGGCAAATGCACAACCTTGAACATTAAACATTGACAGTCAGGAAACACCCCCTCTGTCTTAGTTAACTTTTTTACTGCTGTGACTAAAGGTTCTGACCAATACAATTGAAGAGGAGGGCTCAGGGTTTCAGAGGTCTTAGTCCATAGAAGGCCAGCTCCATTTCTCAGGACTTGAGGTGAGGCAGAACATCATAGAGGAAGAGTGAGGCAGAAAGAAGTAGCTTATATGGTGATCAGGAAGCAGAGACTCCACTCACTAGATACAAATATATACCCCAAAGCCACACCCAATTCCCACCTCCTCCAGCCACACCCTACCACTTAAATTACCACCAGTTAATCCCTATCACGGGTTTAACTCACTGATTTGGTTAAGGCTCTCACAACCCAATCATTTCTTCTCTGAATCTTCTTGCAATTGCTTACATGTGAGCTTTTGGGGGACACCTCACATCCAAACCATAATACCCTCTTAACTACAGGGGCTGAGAGTACAGATATAGAAATACAGATGATGAGAGATACACCTCACTCAGGGGTGTGCCAGACAGGTGGTTACCATTGTTCACTGTTCAAATTTAAAGAGAGAGATGTGAAAAGGGTTACAGATAAGGATACTTAAAAAATAATTATAGATTCCTAATAATAGAAATTTAACATCAATGCCCAATGGGCAATTTGATCAAATTAGAGTATATGTGTACAAAATAATACTCTAGAGCCATAAAATATTCTCTTTAAAAATATATAAGGATATGAGAAAAAGATCATAATATGTTATGTGGAAAAAGCAGGTTATTAAACCATTCACTTGGTGCATTTCCTAGGTGAAGAAAGCACAGGCAAACAGACTGGAAGGAGGTGGAAGAATGATCCCAGAACTATTCAAAGTCGTTACTCCTGCTGCTATGATTACAGGTACATACCACTGCAGATTTTTCTAAGGTCAATGTGTATTACTTTTATAATTAAAAATTCCTATTAAAAAGTAAAGCAGCCAACAATAGTTTCTATGTACACACTTACTCAACAAAAAACACTTGTCCGTTCTCATCGGTTTCTTGTTCCCATCCATATGGCAAATCTGAAACAGGAAAGACGGACAGGTCTGTGAGTGCCATGGGACCTGAAGCCCCTTCCCCAGCTCAGGAGGAGGAGGTGCCGTGCCCACCAGCCCTGCCCCTAAGCCCACCCCTCCGGACAGGCAGCCGCTGCTCCAAGCAGCTGCAGAAGGCCCGCGGCCCCAGCTGCATCCCACACATCTGCCTCTTGTTTCATTCTCAATCATTCTAAAATGCTCTGTCCAGGCCTGATTTAGGGGAATCTTCCCCGTTGCTTGGATCAGTGTGAACTCCCCCTTGAGTAAGCTCAGAGATGCCTCAGTGGGCGCGGCAGGCACCCAACACCACTGTCCGCTATGCCCGCTGCCTCGTGTGAGGTCACAGGGCAGCTCTGACTTCCTGTCATTGCCTCAGCTGGACCCTAATTACCTAAGAGCAAGGACCTTCTTATGCTTCTTTTTCTTCTTCTTTTTTTTTTTTTTTTTCATTCTTATATGTCTATTCCAAGCATCCAAAAATCATGGTGATCTTTATGGAATTCCATAAAGTACTGATATGCTTAATTACATAGTATAAACCAAGAGCTATTTTACCAACAGTGCAGCTTTGGAGAACCTAATAAGCCATGAGCCAAAGGCCCCAATCATTTTAATACTTTTTTGTTTAAGAGCAGTAAGAAATCATCTCCTCCACCCCAGACCTTATCACCTCCTTCTGCCAAATGCCACAGGCTCTCAGAGTAGAGTCATCTAGTTCCTTAATGGTTCTCCACCACAGCCTTCCCCAAATGACACAGCAACCTGTGACCACGCTGTCCATGACATTTTCCCAACATAATTAATGTTTCAAATACAAGATTCTCTCCTTTGGCAACAACATACAAACCTCCTGCTACTCGTTTTCTTTTTCCAGTTTTCGGATGCTCCCATTGAGTCTTCTCCTCAGTGTGACTGTTAAAAAAAAAAAAAAAAATCCACAATACTATAAACAAAAATTAACATTTCTAAGCAATAATAAATTGTATTAAAGTTGTTCTCTCCCAGATAACGCCCTCTCAAGAGTAATGAAAACAAACTCTCAGAAAAGAAACAAGCAGAACATAAATCTTACAGCTTGCATTCCTGGCTGCAGAAGCAATCCTGCAGGAATGTTCTGAGTCACCTTCTAGGCCAGGTGGGGGTAGAGGAGAGGAGGAGAAGGAGGAGGACCAGGCCATCAGCTGGGGGGCAACTTCAGAAAGCTCTACAAATCACCCAGAATATCCAGAGAAGAGTTCCGTTTTGTATTTCTTTTAGTTTTAGTCCAGGATATAATAATAAAAGTCATAATGTCTAATTTATAATGTGGATATTTTAATATAATTGAATATGCTAATCTTCTTAAAATGTGCATTCTTTCCACAGATAAAACTTTCAAGTGTTTCATTAACAGCTATTCCTAAATGTCCCGAGAGGCAGTTGAGAATGCAGTGAACTGGCCCCACAGGCACCTAGTGCGCACCTTTGGTCAAGTTATTCTACCTCTTACCTCCATTTTCTCATCTGCAAAATGGAAACAATTCTAGTACTGATCCCAGGGGGCTGCTCTGAGGACACTGCATATAAAGGAGTTTTACATAGTACCTGGCATATAAGAAGTTCTCAAAATTGCAAGCCATTATTCTAAACAAACCAATTATACAAACTGGCCTAATTCCCACACCAAACTTTGCACATTATCTCAGAACAACATATAATCATAAATAAAACAGCTGAGGCTAGGGCTCAGTGGCAGAGCGCTTGCCTAGCTTGCTCGATTCTCAGCACCACATACAAATAAACAAATAAAATAAACATACAACAAAATAAATAAATAAATAACACAGTGGGCCAATAGCTAGCAACATCTGTCATCAGGTGACAAGGCATCCAGGAACACAAGCCACTTCACAAGGGACACAGCCAGAGGTGGTGGGAGGCACTCGAAGGCTAAGAAAGTGGACTTCCTAAAAGGCCACATATTCTTGCAAAATATAAAACAGTGTTAATCACTGACACCCAGACAATAAAACGTGGACACATCTTCCTTATGTTGAAGAAAATAAGTATAGAGCATGAACTTTCTGGAAAATTTTGCAAGTCACAAGCAAGGGCTGTCTTTTCATTTGTAGTCATTTTTACAAATTCCTAGCAGCTGGGCCTCTGCCCCAGGGGAGGGATCCAGGACCCCCAGGCAGAATGACCAGGACTGGCTGTGGTCAGCCATGTGGGGCTCCTCCACGCCTGCCTCCCTGAGCCGCTGGCAAGGTGAGGCACGCATCATGGATGCATCCTGGACAGGGCTGGAGCCTGATCACATCACCGTACAAGCAAGCAGTATCAATGGCGAAGGTAACCCCCTCCACGTCAGCCACAGCCAAATCCGATCACAAAACAGAAGCTCCGACTCCCTCCAAAGCATAACCCACCCACTCCTCTCGGCCCAGGGGGAGCAGCAGTAAAGCCACTCCTGCTCATCCTTGCCAACTGAAGGGTGGTCACTGGCTAAGCCGAACACGGAGCAGCACCCAACACCCCTGCTCCTCACTTCACCAGGCGAGCACTTCTTCAAGATAAGAGATGTGGTCTTTGGCTTGAAGTGCAAAGTCATCTTGGTCTCCTGGGCCCACATCAGATGAGCTTGCAGTCTAGTTCCCAAGAAGTCTGCACTCAAGAAAGTGACTTCTAGCCAGGTGCAGTGGCACACATCTGTAACCTCAGAGACTTGGGAGGCCCAGGAGGAGGACCACAAGATCAAAGCCAGCCTGGGCAATTTAGTGAGAACCTGTCTCTAAATTCTAAAAACTGCAGTAAAGGTCCCGGGATGTGGCTCAGTGGTAAAGGGTTCCTGGGTTCAGTTATTCCCAGCACTGTAAACGACAAAGCAAGAAGATGACCCCTAACAGCAGAACACCAGGCCCGGGAGCAGGCAAGCCAGAGGGCCCCTGGCCCGCACAGCCCTGCTGCCCCACAGCAGGCCCAAGTGCAGACACACGACGATTACAGACTTTCCAGAGCAGACACAGACTCACTCAGAACTTTTTTATATATTCTGAAAAACATTTTAAAAACAGAAGAAACTGTCAATCTGTGTTCTTGACGGTGACAGAAACTGTTCAAACCAAGGTTTCTGACCCTCAGCACTACTGACGTCTGGGACCGGGTGATTCCTTGGTGGGGTCCGTCCTGTGCATCCCTGGCCTCTACTCACTAGGTGCCCATACACCAGTCCCCACAGCTGTGGCAAAAGAAAGTGTCCCCAGACATTGCCCATCGTCTAGGGCAGGACACAACTGTCCCTGGTGGAGAGTCCAGGCCTGAGTGGAGACGACAGGCCTGGGAGGGAAGGTGCTGCAGCCTGAAGGCCACCTGTCCTGCTTTTCCCACCCACATGCCTTGGAGCAGCTCTCCAGCTCCCTGTGCCTTGACTTCCTCATCGGTGCCACGGGGACAGGAAGAGCAGCGCTGCCCGGGTTACACAGAACTCATGAGTTAACATGCCCAGCCAAGGACCGCGCCTTCCAACACAAGGATTAGCTTAAGTAAATGCTTATATACGAAAATTAATTAAAAGTATTCTTTTTAATTATGACCTTAAATGACTTTTTAATGAAAAGAAAATCACGACACATGTCCCCCAAGTGTTATCTTATTCCCCTTAAACAGAAGCCCTCCGTTTTTCCTTTCAGGAAGCTTTCTGTCATTTAAAGAGATAATTAACAGTAATCTTAACTTAAACCAAGGGATCAAAATTAAATTTATATCACATTATGTGAATTCCACTTCTAAGTGCGCTCTTCTAAAGCGTCAGCTGTGAAAGCAGAGTTGAAGTTAGCACAGAGACCTGGAGTGGACCGTGAGGACAGCCACCCTGGGCACAGGGGTACCATCTCCTGGGGGAGCTGGCCATCTCTCCAGGCTTCATAGGAAAAGGGGATGGGGAGGAAGACTCAGGAAGGCCCTAGCAACTACAGTGACAGACAGGACACTGAGTCTTTGTCCCTCCTACCCCATCTCCCAGAGGGGCTGCTCTGAGATGCTGGGGGAGGGTGTAGGTCTGCCAGCTCTGCGGTTGAGGTCAGCCTTCAGTAGTGGGTCGTCCTAGAGGACCCCACCCACCCCACCCCCAGGTTGGTAGGCTTTGGAGCCATGTGACCTGTGCCTCTGAGGTCTTCAAGTGCACTGTGGGGACACACTGGCCCAGGGGCACCCACGTAACTGGACAGTGCTGCAGCTACAAAAGGGAAATTCCACAGACCCTAGGGTCTATTTTTTTTTTAATGGACACAATATATTTATTTTTATTTATTTATTTTTACTGGTGCTGAGGATCAAACCCAAGGCCCACGTGTGCGAGGCAAGTGCTCTGCCACTGAGCCACAGCCACAGCCACAGCCAAAGACCCCAAGACCCTACAATCTCTGTCCTTGGGCATGACCTTGCTGCAGTGGAGAAAGAATATCTGGAAAAAGGAATAAATTGAAGGGTGGTTTGAGAGCCTGTTAGCAAAGTTTGCCAAACTTCCAAGAGAAGACAAGTGTCACTTCCAGAGTTATGAGGGAAAAGCAAGGCCAGGGGGCCTGCAAGTCAGGAGAGATCAAGAGGGTGGCTGAATTACGAACAGTTAGAAGGATCTGTCAGCCTATGAGCCAAAGAACAAAGGGCCTGCAGAACTGGAGGGAGGGTCAGCAGAGACACCAGCCAGCCTGGTCCCCAGAGTCATGGTAATAGTGGGGCCAGACAGGCTAGAGTGAGACCAAAGACACTGCTGCAGGTCAGAGGAAGGACTTACGCCAGTCATACACACGAGTCCCCAGGAAGGAAGCAGTTGGGGAAAGCCAAGCCACATGAAGTAAAGTAGGTGGGGAGGCAGAACCAGCCTGAGAAGGAAGGCCCTAGGCCCTAACTTGAGAAGCAGCAGGGGAACGTGGCCAGATGAGAACAGAGGAGGAAGGCAGAGGAGGGAGGCAGAGGAGGGAGGCAGAAGAGGTCTCAGAAAGCCAGGAGCAGGTCAGGGCATCTGTGCCTCGGGGTCTAGTACGCCAGCTGCCCACGGGTCCCTAGTTAACCTTCACTATTCATTCCACGTGCTTCTGTTGCCCTACAGCTTCTGGGTGCTGGGTGCTGGGGAGACTGGTAGACAAGCGAGGCCTGCACTGCAGAGGGACACAGAGCACAAACAGGAAGAAACCTGCAAATGACACTGAGGACCCAGAAGCAGATCCCCAAAGAGATGGGTGCAGGGGTGGGGCACCCAGGCAGGGAAGGTCTCTGGGGCAGTGAGTGACATTTAGGCTCAGCTCTGAGGGAGGAGAGGAGCACAGTGCACACATCCTCAGGCTCAGGGGCCAGGCCTCCTACACTGCTGAAGCATTCTCTGCGGCTAGAATTGTCCCTTTCATTCTCCCAAGCCTCAATTCTTCTAAAGACACAATCCGAAAGTGGTGTCTTGGCTCCAAACCTGCAGTGGACCTGAGCCTGGCAACAGAGCCCCATCTCCTCAGCAAGGTGCAGAAGGGCCTCCCTCACCTGGGTCTTTCCTCCCTGCCTCAGTGTAAACACACCTGCTCAGGCGTGGCCTGTGGTCTCCACGCACTGTCTCTGCCCTGGCTGCCCTCCTGCCCACTTCATCCACCTTCTTCTTCTGGGTCCTAGGATGCCTCCCTAACGTGCCCCCACCTACCAACTTGCCTCTCATTGTAGACAGGCTGCCACTCAGCACACGCACGGTGTTCGGACTAACATGTCAGTCTATTCAATAACACTGAGCACAGCTGATGACAACTGGGTTGTGCACACTGGTATATACCTGTAACCCCAGCTCCTTGGGAGGCTGAAACAGGAAGATCACAAGTTTGAAGCCAGCTTGGGCAATTCAGTGAGACCCTGTCTCAAAATAACAAAAAGGGCTAAGGATGTAGCCTCCAGATTCAATCCTCAGTACCCTCTCCCACCCTCCCCCTGAAAAAAAAAAAAATAACCAAGTCTTACTATCATAGTGCCCGAGCTTGAGGCCTGACACATAGAATCTCTATAAGATCACCAGAGGGTTTTTTTTTTTTTTTTTTTGGAGTTTTTTTGTTTTGTTTTGTTTGTTTGTTTGTTTTCTTTCTTTCTTTCTACCTGGCCACCATAACTGCAGCAGTCACAACTTTGGGCCTTGGGTAGATCAGAATCACCAAAAATATTTCAGCCTACCTATCAACCTACATTTGGGGAGAAGGGAGGGCCCAAACTAATTAACTCAATTTGGGGAGGTGGGGGACCCAAGAAAAAAATTTTATCTTAAATGAAAATTATAGTGTTCATACTAATTTGTTTCTAAAAGACAGATAATAATCCACTTATCTGGAAAACTTAAAAAAAAAAAAAAAAAAGACTCCCCAAGTGGAGAGTCTGAAGCAACAGGTTCTCCACAGAGATCTAATGTCTTCATTTAAGACATTTAAGACACATCAGGCTGAAAAGACAGAGATAGCTGTGGCTCCCAACACATCTAAAAGAGTAAGTGACTGAACATTAGGTGTTTTATGCACACTGCCTCAAAGGGCCCTTCTATCAATCCATTTTACAGATGAGAAAACAAGCTGAGTTCTTACAATGACTCAAAGTCACACAGTGATGGAAAAAGGGTCTACTAGGGTACCCAATAATGAAGTTACATACAGCATTTGTTTGTAGGAAAATACATACTCCTAGGCCTTCAAACCCCCAAGGAGAGAGCTGGGCTTGTGCATATTTTAAAATTCCTTTCTCTCTGGGGGAACTGTCATCACCGCACCGTGCAGTGCTGCCTCCTGAACAGCAGACGGCGCGCCTGGCCGCTGCCAGGTGACCCCGCTTGACCCAGAGCCCACAAAGGGGCCGGCTCCTTCTGGGGGACCCTCCAGCCTCTGACAATCGCTGTCAATTAGCACCGCCCTCGCCATGTCGGGAGGCGCAGCCCCCCCGAGCGCGAGGCCGTAGGGTTCCAGGTGCGACCCATCCAGGTGCGTCCCAGGCCCAGCGGCCCCATTGCGGCCCCCTTACTTGGCATAGTAAACCCAGCCGTCCTTGGTGGTTCTCTCTTCCCAGCCCGGGGGCAGCTCATCCTCGCTGTCCGTGTCGTCCAGGCCCGCGTAGCGCAGGGCTGCCATGGCGGATAGAGGAGGCGCTCGCCCGCTGTCCCGCTCGCGCGCCGCCGGTCTCCTCTCCCAGGAACTCACTCCCGCTTCAACCAAGCGCCGCGCGCGCCGCGGCCCGACCGCTCGCGCCTGCGCACCGCGCAGCCCAGAGCCGCACAGCCTGATCCGTAAATGTAATCCAGTCTCCTGGGTTTTGCAGCTCCCGAAATAAAAGGGGAGGAGCCTAGGAAGACCACCAGAGAAAGCGTGAAGGAGACTGCGCTGCATCTCGGCTAGAAGTAAAGCCCGGAGAAGGCTGCGTAGTTCAGAGACGGGGCGGAGTTTCTTCGCTCTGCGGGAGGCAAGGAAGGGGCGTGCTCATCCAGTCACGGTTCAGGACTCCGCCCGTTGCTGGGCGACCTGTAACCACTTCCGCGTGGTTCTAGCCAATCCTGCAGGAGCCCCAGCAATTGCGCATCCTGGGAAATGTAGTTTAGGCCCAACCGGAATAGAAAGTGGAGCAGAAAAGAAGGATTCTAATAGGGAAGTCCTGGACTCCAGCCCCTCCTTATTTTAAGGCCTCAGGAAGAGTAAACATTCCTGACTAAAAACCATCCAACTGCCCTCATTCGGGCTGATTCACAAATTTTGCTGTGCATAGAAAAGTGGCATTATAAACTTGGAAAATTTAAATTACAAATTCTCACGCCTCCTAATTCCCTAGTCCTGCAGAATAATCTTCCATCCATAGTGTGCTTCTGTTGATAATAATCGGTAACGTTTATGGATCCATTAAGGGATGGTGGCATGGTGGCCAGGAATTCATAGGCTCTCTCTTGCACATATCCGACACCTCTGTGACGTGGACTCACTTCAGAAGGATAAGTAACTACCCAAAGGACCACGGAAGAACAGAATCAGGTAATTCCGGGAAGTTCAGACCCCATTGCTACATTCCAGTTAGTTACTTATCTGTAAACTTGCAACTAATCTGACAGAGCACCACATCTTATGCTTCCTTTATTCACTACCACTTGGACAAATGCTAGGTTTATTAAATTAACAAATGAAAATGTGATTTTTAGATTTAGCCCTCTGTGAATTGAACTAATTAAAAGCAAAATTTCCAAATTTATGAAGCAGACTGCCTTATGTCATCTCTGAACACCTGGTGAGCATACTATCTATAAATGTCCTGTACTGAAAACCAAGAGCATATCTTCAACTTGACCTTCAACAATGTTGCTTTTTATGTTCCAGTCCTAATATTGATTCTTACTGTAAGAGTCCTAGTTGGCATACTCTTGAGGGAGACACACTTTCCTGAACAGGCTCAGCCAAAAGCTAAAGTATTGAAAGCACCTTTTAGTGTGACCAGGCTTGCTGTCCCAGCTTGAACTTATCATCACATGAATTTTCTCAATTTACATCTGCTGCTCCTCGGCTTACCTCTAGTCAGTCCCTTTCACCTGTCACCTAAGACCATTTAATCCTTTGCTATGAATAGAAAATTGGCTCACAAAGTCCCCTGATTGCAGAGAGGTGAAAGGATATACTTAAATTGATTAGTCTCAGTTTCCCCAACCATCTGTGGTCTCTGTTCAAGCAGTGACTTCTTAGATTGCTCTTGGGTTGCACAGGTCAGAGCCCCTGCTGGCACCACTTTCCTGTTGAAGCCAGAATTAGACAGGCAGTCAGCGTAGATGGGTACATCGAGTCAGGTTGGATCAAGGAGGCCAATTTTGAGTAATCCCGGCAAATAGGAGACTGTCCCCTAAGGGATTGAAACGTTAATTCCTTGAGAGCCCTTCTGCCACCCTTATCAAGAACCAGACCCTGCTCCAACCTGTTAACAGGATAATCTGTCCCAGGAATTTTCCCTCCCTATAGGGAGCTATAAAGTTGTTAATTAATGTGTCCTGGGCTGTACCATCCTGCCCTTCACCCTTCAGCCCACCTGTTTCCCACCTTTTGGCCACCCCATGGGGCATTCCTGGGCCTGGTCACATAAGCAGGAAGGAGAAAGATAATGGGGAAAGGCAGGGGGACAAAGGAAGCCTAGGACATATAAAAAGGGCAGAACACTTTACTTCTTGGGATACCAGGATACCAGCTATGGCCTCCAAGCTTTATATGCTTGCCTCAGCGTGCTCCTCTAATGTTCAAACTTCAACATGTGGGGAAGCAGTACTTGTCATCGGTATCACTGTGACTGGGCAATGGATAATCCCATATGATGTCCTCCAAAATGGGTAGTGGTCTCTCTGGAAGAATTCTAAACTTCAGGGTCAACCCTCTGTTGTCCCCTGTTATCATGATCAGTTCCCTGCAGGGCTTCTCCTGTCATTGATGCCAGAGTTTCTTGGGGACTGTCTGTGCACTGTGAGGTGTCTAGCAGCATTTTTATACCTCCACCCACTAGATGCCAGCAGCATCCCACATCCCAGTTGTGACATCAAAAATACCTCCAGAAGTTGCCAATTTGGACCCAGTTAAGAACCACAGATCTACTGAAACCTGCAGATTTCAGGATTTCTAGTCTTTGGCTTCAGTTCAACACACTGTTTTAGTCAGGCTCATCTGATTCCAAGGAGAAGACACTGATTCAGAACAAGGGTTGATGGTCAGAATTTACAAGAACTGAACTGGAAACCCAAGAACAGGTCTATGATTTTTTTCTCTTGTGGTTTTGTCACCAAATAGGGGTCTGAGGAGGTCCCCCAGAAGGGAGAAGGGGATTTCAACTCAGCCCTGGCAGGTTCTTGACTTATACCCCAGAAATGAACTTCAGGATGCATCAAAACAGGCACAAAGATTAATTAGGAAAGCAAGGAGATTTGTTCAGAATTTGTAAACAGTGAGCATGGGAAGTATGGGGAGGTGCCCTCAGGCTGGTGAGCTCAGCAGTCTTCACTATGGAGCCCAGGGTAGCTTAAGGAGATCCGGTTCTTTTAGGATCTCCAGATGGTCATCACCCAGTCAACAGAAAGCATTTGGAATACGCTCGTAAGTAAGTGTCTAACAATATTTTCCCTTGGCTTTATTTAGACTAAAGAAAATGTGTCACATAAGCTAGCAACGTGTGTAGGCGTTAATCATATAGACTCATGATACTCTAAAATTCATGCATCTATTAAGAACTTGTGTCTGGAGGAAAACAGGCCTGGGGAGTAAAACTGAGGGTGCTCATGGCGCTTCTTAGATTTAGAATTACAGTTTCTAGCCAGGAGCAGTGGTGCACGCCTGTAATCCCAGCAGCTTGGGAGGCTGAGGCAGGAGAATCACAAGTTCAAAGCCAACCGCAGCAACTTAGTGAGTCCCTAAGCAACTTATTGAGACCCTGTCTCAAAATAAAAAAATAAAACGGGCTGGGGGCGTAGCTCTGTGTTTAAGGGCCTCCTTCACGGTTAGTCCCTCTTTCCAGCTAACTCTATTTCCTCTACCCCACCCCACTTCCATGGTCTGGGGCATCATGTCCCCACCACTCCAGCCACCAGCCCCAGACTACTGTTCTGCTATCTCTTTACTGGCTTCCTCTCTTGGCCTTGCTTGCCGGCCTCCTGCAGGTTACCTTGCTCCTGGCTTTGACTTTGCTCTAGTAAGAATCTGTCAGCAGGCCAGCCTTACTTACCTGGTTAATAAGATTATAATGGGTTTGAGAAACATTCAGCTTGGGCATAAACCAAGGTCCACGAAATGCAACCCTAAGGAAAAAAAAAAAAAAACCTCAAGAATGATTTGCTTCTGTAAGATCAACTGAATCACAATGATTCCTAGTAAGGAAACTTTAAAAAAAAAAAAAAAACATGTGGTTGCTCAGCTCCACACCAGATGGCCCTCTCCGCCTACGATTTTGAAGGCTAATGCCCAGTTCTCAGCAAGGATTTCTACATTCAAACTTTTTCTTTCTTTCTTTCTTTCTTTCTTTCTTTCTTTCTTTCTTTCTTTCTTTCTTTCTTTCTTTCTTTCCTTCCTTCCTTCCTTCCTTCCTTCCTTCCTTCCTTCCTTCCTTCCTCCTTCCCTCCCTCCCTTCCTTCCTTCCTACCTTTCTCTGATTACTTCCTTAATAAATATGTTGCAGAATTTGCTTCTTTACGATCTTGTTGAATGGGATTTGGCATCATTCAAAATACCTATGCAGGGGGCACGAGTTTCAGTGTGAGGCTCCTGGAGCTGCCATTCTTGAGTTGGTCATGACCATGACGACTGTCCTTTCCTGCCCCCTCCACCCACACACAGCACCCCAACAACTCTGCAAACCTGCTTCGACTGATATCATCATTCCTTCCAAAATTAGGCTTGACGTTTGGTGCCAAGCTCTGCATACTAATGGAATCTGGGAAGCTTCCAGGGTGGGTCTTATAAAATGCAGGGGGTGGGGGTGACAAGTAAGGGAGAATTCTGGGGAAACGCTCTCCTGGTCAATGTGGCCTTATTTAGGAAGGTATGTTTGCGTCTCGCTTATTCAAACAATGACTCAAAGCAATTATTTCTGAGGGGAAAAAAAAACCTCTCCCTATAATCCAGAAACCGTGGTCAGGATAGGATCAACAGACACCCAAAGAACTGTACTGGTATGAGACAGGGAGAGGGCTGGTGTTAGGGCCTCCTGTAGTTTATCTTTGGAACCCAGCTAATGTCATTTATAAACGGGGTGACAGAGGCCAAGTCCCTGGGCATCCCTTAGTTTCATTGTCTAAATATGCAACTTATATTGGTGCCCACCTCATAGTGGTGTTGGGAGTTTAAACAAGTCAATGCGTGTCATCAATGTATCGATCAGGGGCCAATCAGGAAAAACAACCAGTATTTCAACGTGGAATCTACAGAGGGAATTCACTACACAGGGGACAGAAGGAACTGCTGAAGAGACAAGTGTGGTTCATGCTGCAAATGGGAGATGGACAAGGGCAGGGTGCTATTTCCAGGACATGGGGTGGAGGGACATGGGAAGGAAACTGAGAATCTAGAAACAAGGAGGAGGTTGTCCTGCCTGGACTGGACCTGAGAAAGGACCGTCACTGCCGGCAAACCCTGCAGAAGCCATCCTAGAGGGGAGAAGAATAGCCTGGCTCACCATTGGGTCAAAATACCCAGAAGCATCCGGAAAAGGCAGGGAAGGGCCTGAGCGCAGCAGGGGGAGCCGGCCTGACCTGCTCAGCACTGGCCAGGTGTTGGCCCCACCTGCTGGAACCCAGGACGGGGAGTGGAGGCAAGGAATGACCACTCTGCCTCTGAGGTA